CCCCCCCCGCGCCCTGCGCTTTGCCCCTCTCTCCTGGCCTTGTTCCTGGCCGCACTCCTTACAGGTGCACTCCTTACAGGTGCTTCTCATGTGACAAGCGAGTTCCCGCCCTGTGATGGTTAAATTGTTAAATGAGGACTTGTACATAGCACCCACACGGTGGTATTCAAAGCAAGGAAACTCCAGTGTGGTGACTTTGCTTTTATGTGCATAACTCACACGCTGTGCCATAATGTATGACAGGACATAAAACCAGTGCCGTACTGTACAGCACAGCAGCAAAAATGCATGGACAAGGTGTGCTGCACAGAAGAGGGCATTGAGAAATCTATGAACAAGACGTACAGAACTCCAAAACTGAAAAAAAAGATGGGTCATAAACCTGAGCGGCAGTCGTTAAATCCAAACAGCTGGCCTCACAGTAAGTCTGAACAGTCATTAAACAGGCAGGTCGTTAAGGGAGGGTTATCTGTATTGATTTGCATATCTTGAACCATTTTTGCATCCCTGGAGTGCAGCCCACTTAAGCATGGTGTGTGGTCTTTTCTGTGTGCTGCGGAATTATATCCGCACATGTTTACCGAGGATCTTTGCATCTGCGTTCGTCAAGGACAGTGGGCTCTGATGTAGTTTTTGTCCTCGTCCCATTGGGCAGCACAGCCATACCGGCTTTGTGCACTACATTTGGAAGGGTTGCCTCCTTTTCTAGTTGGGGGAAGAGAGAGGCCATAGGTGTTCTTTAAGAGCCTGGTATCATTCACAAGTGAATCTGTCCTGTCCCTGGCTTTCCTTTGTTGAGAGAAATCTTGCCTCAGTATCACTGGTTGTTATTGACCTGCCTGAAGTTCTTACAACCTCTTTGGTTCTAGTTTGGTAGGTCGTATGAGTCCAAAAATGTTTCCGTTTCTTCTAGATTTTTCAATTGATCGGGATATCGTGTTTCAAAATACTCCCCATGACCCTATGAATTTGGGGGGTACCTGTTGTAACGCCCCTTTTCAGCTCTCATTTTATTTGGGTCTTCTCTCTCTGTGGGTTAGCTTAGCTAAGGGTTTGTCAGTTTTATCTTTTCAAAGAAATAACTCTTTATTTCCTTGATCCTTTGTATTGTTTGTTGTCGGGAGCCGGTTCAGGATCCGGCAGAGGTCAGGAGGCCTCTCCCTCGCCTCCTGCACTTCATGACTTCCCTCCCTTTGTGCCCCAATTTATCCCGCCAAAGTAGACAGCCCGGGGTGCAAGGAAATGTTCCTTGTCCTCTATTTGTTTGTTTACTTTTGAGACAGGCTTTCCTATATAACTCAGGCTGGCCTTGAACTTGCAGTGACCCTCCTGCCTCCCGCCTCTCAAGTGCTGGGATTACAGGTGTGTGCCACCACACCTGGCTTCTGCCCTGATCTTTATTGTTTGTTTCCTTTTACTGATCTTGACTTTAGCTTCTTCTTGTTTGCATAAGAATTTGAAAATGCACCAAAAGAAAGATCTTTTTTCTTTTTTTTTTTTCTTTCTTTCTTCCTTCCTTTTAAATGTAGACACTAGTAGCTATAAAGTTCCCTATTAGCACTGCTTTTGCTGTGTTCCACAGGCTCTGGTATATTTTGCTTCCATTTTCATTTGAGTCTAGCAAGTTTTGAATTTCTCCTTTGATTTCTTCACTGACCCAATATTCATTAAAAAGTGTCTCCTTCAATTTCCATGTATTTGTATAATTTCTATAGTTACTCTTGCTGTTGATTTCTAATTTCATTTTATTAATAATTTGGTAGGATGTAAGAAATTATTTCAATTTTTTAGATCTTGTTAAGACTCACTTTGTAGCATTGTTATGGAAGGGATCCTTAAGTGACACACACAGAGAGGTGGCAGAATGGAAATAAAATAACAAAAGTTTACTCCATCGATGGGGGTCGATCACACCTAATGGCAGTGCCCTGATCGACCCAGTACTGGGCTACAAGTCCCCCTTTCATAGGGTTTTACAGACTTGATCTCATTCAGGTGGTTACATTGCATTTTCACAGTTCACATTGCTGATATTCAAAACATGGTGGTGAGACAGTTGAATTTCAACCCAGATGCAGCACTTCTCCGTTAGAGGAGGTTACCGTTAAAATTCATCTAGTTATCTATTGTAGCCCGGGGAAGGGGGCGTGTCTGGTTAGCAAAGCTAACAATGGTTCTTTTCATTTACAAAACTTTTGAGCCCAGACTAGATTCCTCTGGTGCCTGTTGATTCTATAATTCCATCCAACTCCCAGCAAGATACTTTGGAGATATAGAAAATCTTATTTCTAAAGTTTATTCATCAAGGCCAAGGAAATAGAATGGCTAAACTCATTGTGAAAAATAATAGAAAGAATCGATCTACCAAGTTAAAGACTTACTATTACCTCACTAATCAAGATGGTGTATCAGCAGAAGGAAGGACACAAAATCAATGGAAAAGAAGAGAGGGTAGAGTGGTGAACGTCTATAATCCCAGGTACTTGTGAGGCAGAGGCAGGAGGACTGCAAGTTGCCAGTTCAGGTAATTTAGTAAGACATTCTCAAAAATAAAAAGGGCTGAGGTTGTAGCTCAGTGGTAGAGCACTTGTCTACCATGTGAGAACCTGGGTTCAATCCCCAATACTGTAGGGTAGGGGAGCCCACACACAGACTCATACAAATGCAACGACAGATGTCTGACAAAGCTGCAAAGCAATTTGTGGGGAAGGGACAGTTGTTCTGACAGATGTGGCAGGAGCGACAGAGCATAGAGAAAAGCCCCATCTGAAGCTGGCAAGGGACACCAAGATCAACTCTAAGTGGATCCTCAATTTAAAGGTAATATAGAAAACTACACAACTTTTAGAAAAAAGCTAAGAGGGAAACTTCAGGATTCCCGAGGGCGAGGTAGAAATTTCTGAGACTTGACGTGGAAAGCAAAGTCCATAAAAGAAAAAAAATTGATAACTAGACTGCGCCACCATTAAATCTTTTGCTCTGTGGAGACTTGCCAAGGGGATGAAAAGACAAGCTATGGATCTCAACTCAGTTTCTGACAAAAGACTAGTCCTTCAAGAGCTCTCAGGCTTAACTGCAAAAAGAAAATCCAGTTAGAGACTGGGAAAATACATAAAAGGACATTTTTTTCCTCCAGAGAAGAAACGTGCCCAGTGAATAAGCCCAGAAAAAGTATTCAGTGTCATTCTCTTGTCGCAAAGCTGCTATAGCCGAGCTCCACAGGTCTGAGGCACAGCTGAGTGTTACAGCTTGGCGTTCCAGCTCTGGGTCCAGGCTATCACAATTTGAAGACTCTCCATTGGAATCTCAATCCGATGGTCACTCAGAGAGATGGAGAAAAACCTTTACTATGTCAGCAGGCTCAGAGGAGTTCGTATGCAAAGCCTGAGTGAGTGCTCTATCAGAAATGAGGGCCTCCTTACATAGGGCTCTGTAGGGTAGGCGAGCATGCTCAGTGAAGCAGGGAGACGGAGTTCCAGAACATTCTCACAAGGGACAGAACTTAATAGAACATTCTTGGAGGGGGCGGAGCTTAACAGACCTTGTGAGGAGCAGTGCTTAACAGAACACTACTGAAAGGTCACACTGTCCAGTCACAAAACATTTTCATACCTTGGGGAGGAGCCCAGCAGCACAAACAGTTACGTTTCTGGACCAAAACATTTTGTGGGGGAAAAAAAACCAAAACGGTGAAGGCAAGGGAAAGGCAAGGCCTATCTTCTTGTGTATTATTGCTCTATCAGTTCACCACCAAGGGAGCACAGATGAAAGTACCACGAGATCAAGCCTGAAGCAGTGCTGGCACCTGCCTCAGTCTCCTGGTTTGGGGACCGTGCTGCAGTCCCAGGACGTGTCCCTGTGGGTGCCTGGGTAGGGCGAAGGGCACTTGGAATACTCTCCTCTTCCCAAGACTTCCTGCAAATCCCTATCTCAAATCAGCAGCGGACTCCACAGAGCCCTGCCTAATACATGGGGAGAGGCGACCCCACTGTCCCCTAGCTTCCTGCCTGGCTATACCCAGCTCTCACTCCCACATCACGCTGGCCCCTGCCTTGAACTCCAGACTCTGAGATGGAGAACCCTTTTCTTTATCGAGCACCCAACTTCAAATATCCACAATTCAAAGGCTGAAAGGTTCATTTTGGCCCACACTTTCAGTCCGTGGTCAGCAGCTCCGAGGCAGCAAGGCCTGGGGAAAGGCATGGAGGAGAGCCATAGTCGTCATGGCAACCGGGAAACCAGAGAGCAGGGAGGAGTGGGAGGAGATAAACCCTTCCAGGCCACCCCTCAGGGAGCATCTCTTCCAGTCAAGCCCCACCTCCCAACACCCAGGATCCAGTCAACTTCCCCAGCCCAGGAGGCTGTGGGGGACACTCAAATATAAACCCTAACACCAGCGCTGGAAAGTCCACAGAGCCAACTGAAAGCAACTGCAGCTAAGAAGGTGCCTCAGGAAGGAAAGGGGCTCAGGGTCACCAGGAGACATCGACGACGACTTCAGATGCTCTCGGTGGCTGCTCACACCGGAGCCCCGGAGCAGGCAGAGGCAGGAGGACTGCATTTGGGGAGGACCCCGGTGGGGAGGCGTGGAAAGTGGGGCTGGCAAGGGCTGGGCTCCTGACTCCCTGGGGCAGCGTCCCAGCCTGTGTGCGGACAGACGCTGTGCTGGGACGGCTCTAGCAGCACCTCTGTGAGGAGAACACGCCACTCCGCAGGCTGTGTTTAGTTGGATGCTGGGAAGAAAGACACCGGCTTTCTCAGACACTCACCTGTGTGTGCTGGCGGCTCTGGAGAGAGGGAGGCGGGGGTGGGGGCAGTGCAAGGAAGCCAGGCTGCCACGAATGGCTTTTATTTGCTAAATCGTCAGCGTGGATTTCAGGGAGGTCAGGGTATCCCCAGGCCAAGTTCTGCGGTCCCTGGTCCCTGGGTAAGGTTTCTGCGGTGGCCCCTGGGTGCCCTAGGGAGCTCTCGTCAACCGACAGGCTTCTGCAGACCCAGAAGGACAGGGCAGGGAGAGGGTCGCGGTCACCATCTCAAGGCAGAAGGAATGCTCAGAGCAGAGCGCGGTGAAAGGGGCCGGAGGACCCAGCCCTCCTCACCCACGTGGGGCGGGACCACGATCTCGCTGACGTTCAGCTTCTTATTCTCCACAAGGCTGCGGAACATCTCCAGCGCCATCGGGTGGTCCTCCAGGGTGCGGCCTGCAGGCACACAGACAAGGGTGATGGAAGGAGTCCCGTCAGGAGGGAATGGGCGCCCACAGCCCTCCCGGGACCTGCGGAAGGGCCCCTGAGGAAGGAGCAGCGTGGGGATGGCCCTGAGAGCCCCGTGCAGGTGAGGCGGCAGTGACCCCAGGGGAGCGGCGCAGGGGCAGCAGGTGGGCACTGGCGGGGGGAGCTCGGATGGGTCAGGCCGAGGACGGACGGGACCCCACCCACGCACACTAGGGCACTGAGCAGCCGCACCGAAGAGCATCACCATGCTCATCCACTGGTTATTCATCTTGTCGTGAAAGAAGGCGATGCCGTAGGTCCTGGGTGTGATCAGCCAGATGTGGAGGGAGCGGCGGGGGCAGCAGGTGGGCACGGGCGGGGGGAGCTCGGATGGGTCAGGCCGAGGACGGACGGGACCCCACCCACGCACACTAGGGCACTGAGCAGCCGCACCGAAGAGCATCACCATGCTCATCCACTGGTTATTCATCTTGTCGTGAAAGAAGGCGATGCCGTAGGTCCTGGGTGTGATCAGCCAGATGTGGATCAGGTGTCTCCACCCTGGAAGAGGGGTGGGAGGTCTGCAGTGCGGATGGAGGCCCCGGACAGAGCGGGTGAGCAGAGGCGGGGGTGGACCGCTGGGAGGCTCAGGCAGCTGGTTCTCGGAGGGGAGGGACCTGCCCGCGCCTGAGGACCTAGTGTGGGAGGCATCAGCGCCTGCGGGGTGGGGGACCCGAGGGCCAGCCAGAGGCACCGTCTGCGGCTGCACTGCGGGCCCCTGGAGGCCACTCACAGGTGAGGAAGCTCCCGGGACTGGCCTCTTGGGTAAAGGGCAGTTTTAACAGGTGGCATCCGCTCGGCTTCCTGGGAGACAGAGCAGCCTCTGAACAGTTCCCTCACAGAAGTGTCTCCGGGGCACCCCTGGAGTCTGCCCCAGCTCCTTCTAGCCCACCAGACACCCCACATACCCTGCGTGGGCTTCTGCGTCTGCTCACACCCAGTGCCGTGAGCACCTCCCGTGCCCCACACCCACACTCACACCCTGCTCGGTCGCCAGGACGGGGAACTGGTGGCCCAGGCACGCCTCCACCCTCGCCCCCTCCACTGGGCTGCCTGGGCACGCGTTCACGGGGCAGATGGGGGGCGCACAGAACCAGCCCAGGGGCTGCAGCCCAGCCCAGGCCATGGGGGGGCATGAAGCCTGCATGCAAGGCCAGCTGTGCAGGAGCAGCCCTGCGGGGTGGGGAGGGTGGCACTCACCGGATGTGCATCCGGAACTCCAGTTTCCCGTTGTAATTTTGCACAAAGCTGAAGGGGGGCAGAGGCTCCCGTCGCTTCTCCCTGGGGATGGGGATGGTCCCGATCCAGCGAAGTATATACCATGTCCCTAAAAGCTGGAGAAATGGTGCCAGTGACTAGTGCTGGGGGAGGAAAACGAAAGAAAGAAGGTGGAAGGGAGGGCCGGAGGGAGGGCCGGAGGGAGGGGGAGCAAGGGATGGAGGAGAGGAGGGAAGGGGAACGGTAGGCGGGGAGGGGAGGCTGAGCGGAGGTGTGTGGAAGCTGTGGCTGATCCCTGGGAGGACAGCCACAGACCCGGACGTGGACGGAGACGTTTGGGGCGAATCAAGGGAAGACATCAGACGGGTGAGAGAAGCCCCGGGGAGAAGCCGAGGGGTCTGGAAAGGAAGCTTTGTTGTTTTGTTTTGTTTTGTTTTGTTTTCAAGCAAAGAAGGAAGCAGCAAGATGCCTCTACGTCCATCACCTTCCCAGTGACCAGCAGAGGAAGCGGTGACAATTTCCACAGCATTTCCACAGGAGTGTGACAGCCCTGTCACCCTGAAGGGCGGATAACGGGCCAATGGCAGAGAACTACAGGAAGGTTCCACACTCCATTTGGGGTTGGATGTGGGCTCTGAGCCAAAACCGATGAGGGAGCAGCATTCATAGAGCTCATCATGAGGTCGTGTGGACTTAACTGTGTTACCTTACAGATCCCCACATGTGACTTCTCAATCCTAGCCTAATTGGCATCTGTCCACCCCCATCCTTCCATCTAACTACCCAACCGTCTGCATGTCCACCATCCATCCACCCATTCACCCACCCATCCATCCACCATCCATCCACCCACCCATCCATCCACCCACCCGTCCATCCACTCATCCACCCACCCATCCACCCACCCACCCATCCATCCACCCACCCGTCCATCCACTCATCCACCCACCCATCCACCCACCCACCCATCCATCCACCCACCCGTCCATCCACTCATCCACCCACCCATCCACCCACCCACCCATCCATCCACCATCCATCCACCCACTCACCCACCCTTCTATCCACCATCCATCCACCCACCCGTCCATCCACTCATCCACCCAGCCATCTATTCTTCCATCTACTCAGCCTATCTATCCTTCTTTCTGAGACAAGGACCTAGAGATCTCCATGGGAGGAAAGGGGAGGTAGCCCTGGCCCTTAACCCAGGACATGTGACATAGTAAATGTACAGAGCATACTCTTCCCTACCCCCCACTCTCCCAAAGAATCCGATGGACCTCGAAAATCCAGTGCATTCTAAAGCCAGGATGCCCTCACTGTGGTGCTTCCAAGAATAACAAGATGGGTGTGGGCCCCAGAGTGTGGACATGAGTGTGGCCAACAGCTGACCAGGTCCCAGGAGGGAAAGAGGATTGGATGGGAACCTAGGCCCCAGCGGTGCCTGGCGCACAGCCTGATACCAGGTGTCTGTGACCAGGTGCGCCCAGTTCAGCGAGGGGCACAGAGCCTCCGGAGGGGAGCTGTGATGGGCTTGTGGCATCCGATGTCTGCTCCAACAGTGGGTGGAGGTGTGAGATGTGAGTGGTTGGGCTGCAGTGGTCACACGTGTGTCACATTGACAAAGGACTTAAGGTACACACAGTCCTGCCAAATGACAACACTGACCTGAGGGAAACAAGTGCTGTGTGACTGTCCACGTGTCACCACCGGAGGGGCCGAGGTCAAAGGACACGTGACACAGGTCTCACCACGTCCCCCATGGGGCAGGAAGATGCTGTGCCCTTCCCTGTGGGTGACTGCAGGCACACCGGGCACCCCTCCTCTGCAGGGCGATGTCACCCAGGACACCAGAGACCAGGCTGACACCCCAGGACGGTGTCTGGAGCTTGACTTGGGCGTGGATCCCGCCCCAGCCTCCCCTCTCACCGAGTCTGTGGAGGCCGGGACCGCTAAGTCGTCCTCTGCGGCCGGTGCTGTGAACAGCAGGGTGAGCCCAGAGGCCACCAGGAGCAGCTGCATGGTCCCTGCCACTGCTCTGCACCCACACCTGGCCTCGCTGCCTGACTGCTGTTTATGTGGCCCTGGGAGGCACTGGAGACAGCCCTCCCCCACCCCGCGGTGGCCCCAGTGGTTTGGTTTGGACGGAGGTGAATGTGGGAGCTAATTGGTGTAATTAGCCCTCCAGCTGCAGCAGCCCTGGCCTCCCGCTGAGGCAGCCTTGTCAGGAGGACAAGGTTATCAAAGTGGGCGATGCCACAGCCGAGTCAGAGCCAGGCTGGCGCTCCCCACCCTCGCCCACATCTGCCCTGGTCCAGACGCAGCTCAGCCCTTTCCTCCAGCGAGGTCTCAGCTTCTGGGCTCCTCATTTGTTCCCAATCTTCTGGCTCCATGCTCAGTTTCAGCCCTGCTCAGACCCCTCCGGGCACCCACTGTGCGCACTGCCGGGCCCTTCAGCCGCCCTTCCCTCCAACGCCCGCCTGTCCCGGGTGGACACCGGAGTCTGCCCTGCTCTGCACCTCTGCCCTGCCCCACCGCCTGCCGGTTTGTCTCGTCCCTAGGACATCTCCAAATCCACATGCTACCAGGGCTGCCGGCTGCCCAGGAGACAGGAGCCGAGCAGACCCTTGCCCAGAGCGGGACTGTGGCGTCTTATTCCTGGGTGCGTGTGTGTGTGTGTGTGTGTGTGTGTGCGCGCGTGTGCGCGTGTGTGTGCGCACATGCCTGTGGATGTGACATCTCTGTGTGTGCGCGCACAGATGCCCATGTGTGCATCTCTGTGTGTATGTGTGTCCCTGCACGGGTGTGCCTCTGTGTGCACACGTGTGCACGTCTGTAGGCCCGTGTGGAGTGGCCTCCAGAGCACTCTGCTGTGAAGCTCTTCCTCCAAGGGCCGACCCCCACCAGGACCACCTGGTCCCCGCCGGTCAGCCACTCCTCTGCCGGGGACAAAGGGGTCCCTTCCTGGGAGGCCATCCAGAGGCTTTGGGGAGCACCCTGGGCCCCAGATGTGCGCTGAGAACGACATCTCCTATGGCACTGGAGGCGCCTGAGGAGGTCATGGAGTCTGGACAGGTGGAGGCCAGGCCCGGTTCCCACCTTGTCCTTGTCCCCACTGGCCGCTGTGCCAGCACTGAGCAGCCTGCAGGAGGGCTCTGCAGCATGGCTCACAAGACACAGATGGCATCTCAAAGGCCTCCTGAGGAATGAACAGACCCAGAAGTTGCACACCTATGACTGTTTGCAGGACATTGATGAGAGACAGAGTTGGGGCAGACAGGTCAGCGTTTGACCTTAAGGGACAGCCTGGCACTGGGAAGGATCTGGGCTCCAGAACAGGGCTGTGTGCTCCATGTGGTGGTAACAAAGATTTGCCCATTTGTTAAAACTCATAGAACTGCCTGGGCACAGTGGCATATGCCTGTGATCCCAGCACTCAAGGAGGCTGAGGCAGGAGGATGGCAAGTTCAAGCCCAGCCTGTGTGACTTAGCAACTTCGTGAAACTGTCTAAAAATAAAAAAGTCTGTCCAGCCTGGCATAGGATGAAACCTGGTCACAGACAGGGTGACTGCAGGCTCTTCCACTTCTGGAAGTCCCCAGCTGTGGGGCCAGCCAACCCTGTCCTATCACAGGTGCCCTCGACCTGGGCCGCCACTGTACCAGCCCAGGCACCAGCCAGGAGGGCCTGTGCTTCAGTGCAGAGAATCAGAACTTTCTTTGGTTTTTCCCCTTCTCCTACACAAGGCCATCATCCTGGGGGACGAGGGGACTTCTTGTCTGTCTCACATTGTCCCTGATGGTGATGACATACATGCTCACCTGGGCAGGAAGGAAGTGGCACTGCCCCCCTCCTCCCCACGCCCACTGTGTTCCTGTTGCTTGGGGATAAGCCAGGGTGTGGACCTTGGCACCGCAGGCAGGCGAGCCTGGAGTTAGAAGCCCTGAGTGTGACCCCAGAGCACCAGGGCTCAGGACTCTCCGGTCCTCTACCTGCCGGCCAGGCCGGGCCACCTGCAACACCAGGAACCTTCCAGTAGGCGTGCCAGGCTCAAGCCCTCGGGAACAGAGTGGCTGGCGTCCCACAGGACAGCAGCCCAGCCAGCAGCAGCAAGGGATGGAGGAGTAGGTGCCCATCACCCCCAGCCCCAGACCACCTCCATTTTAAGTCTTTTCCTTCTTTTTGATTTTTTCAGTAACTGTCATGGCAAATGTGACCTTGAAGACAGGGACAGCACTGCGAGCCCTCGGGCTGGGCCTGCCAGCTCTGAGGCTGTGAGGGCCAAGCAGTCCACGTGCCCTGGGTCTGGCCAGCTCAGCCACGCTGACACAGCTCCACAGCAGTTCCACAGTGCCTCCCTGGGGTGGGGGTGGGCTCTCCTGGGCCCTGCAGCAGCGGGATTCTCTCAGGAATTAGATCCTGGGCAGCGCCTCCCGGGTGACCTCTTCACTGTGTGAGACTGAGCTGGGGGCTGAGCCGAGCTGATCCCAGCAGTGTGGGATCCTGCATGGCTCCCACCTTGCAGCCCAGCCCCTCCCGCACAAGCCACGGAGCCGAGACGGCCGTGTCAGCGTCTGGGGCACCTGCAACTACAAAGCAAATCAGCTCGCGACCCCACGGGCGCGGGGGGGGGGCAATAAACGCTGACCCCCGCCCGCGCCCGCGGGCGGGGGGGGGGGGGGGAAATCATTCGTGGCTGGTGAACGGTTGCCAGCGCATGTATTTCTGTGATGTGAGTCAAAAACGGCAGACCTCCCGAGGGTGTCACCCACAGACAGGGCCGTCCCGCACCTTCGTGTGTGCGCGTGCGTGTGTGCGTGTGTGTTCCTGCAGCAATCGTGGAGTCCATGCTCCATCAGCCTCACTTTATAGATGCAGAAATGAGGAGGAAAAGCGGCGTGCCCAGGAGTGTCCCTGGCTAAGACACACACCGGGCCCTGGAGGACAGCAGCATCACAGAACCGTCCGGTTTGTCACCTCTGGGTCTTGAGCTTTGCTTTGTGAATGTATTTTGAAAATCCACTGCGAAGGACAGGCTGACGGCCCCTCCCATGTGCTGCCTCGGTTTCCGGCCCTCCGGTGAACCCTTGGCCTCAGGCAACTGCTGCCCGTGCTGCTTCTGGTGAAATTTTCCCTACTTATTCCTAGTAGCTCTCCTGGTTCTGCGGACACTGGGTGAGTCTTGAGGACCCCGAGGCTGAAAGTGGCAGGAACCGATGCAGGGACAGGCTGGGGTGTGGGATGAGGATGGCGGAGGGATGGCGCTGGCTGGGTGGCCTGGGAGACTCCAGGGCTCGGGATAGGCACTCGGAGCTGAGGGTCCAGGACCAAGGCCTGGTCTATCCCCAGGCCACACGTTGCAGGTGGCCCAGATGCCAGGAGGCCTGCAGAGGCTCGGGATAGGGACAGAGGCACCACCACCCCTAGGAGAGGACACACATGCAGGGGCGCTGGGCCAGGGACTCCGGGACAGACTCTGCCCAGGGCGTCACGGCCCTCAGGGCTCCTTGGAGACTCCTGTACCATGTTTTATGTTTCCTGTGTCTCTCCATTGCTTGGAGCCCTTCTCCACTCTGAGATCAGTGAACTAGCTCTGCCCATGTCTCAGCCTCCCCTCCATTGCCTGGGGCTGGAGCTCAGAGAGGCACAGCATCCACTGCCACTGTGGGGCTGGACCTGCCCACCCAGACCACCTCGGGCTCACAAGGTACTCAGGACCACCCAGCAGCCCTGCCAGAGCCGTGTCTAGGGAGGGCAGGATGAGGTGGGACTGAGGGGCAGGGCAGGGTCAGCAGTGGTCCCCCGAGCTGCCAGTCACTGG